TCAGACACCTTGGCTATGCCTGACCTTATAACAACTTTTAACTCTTTAGCTACATCTGACACGTCAGTCACACGACCTGCGTCTGACACACTGACTGCGGCTGACACTCTGGCTACGTCTTATACTTTGGCTACGCTCTACGCTTCTGACACCTTGGCTACATCTGGCACTTTGACTGCATCAGGCACCGCCACAAGTTCTAAGCTGAGCAGTAGCGATGCATTTTTCAGCATTTCAACTGCATCCGCGAGAACAGATGTTTCTAGCAGATCAACAGCGCTGCAAGCCAGTACGGGTTCTAACCTATCAGCATTTATCACATCAGGTCCAACCCTAATCCTATATTTTCTACTAATGCCTTGTGTCCAAATCTATCCTATATCTTTACTAATAACTTGTTGCCAAATCTATACTATATCTTCTACTAATGCCTTGTGTCTAAATCTATCCTATTTCTTCTACTAATAACTTGCGTCCAAATCTGTCCTATATCTTCTACTAATAACTTGTTACCAAATCTATCCTATATCTTCTACTAATGCCTTGTGTCCAAATCTATCCTATATCTTCTACTAATGCCTTGTGTCCAAATCTATCCTATATCTTCTACTAATGCCTTGTGTCCAAATCTATCTTATATCTTCTACTAATGCCTTGTGTCCAAATCTATCCTATATCTTCTACTAATGCCTTGTGTCCAAATCTATCCGATATCTTCTACTAATGCCTTGTGTCCAAATCTATCCTATATCTTCTACTAATGCCTTGTGTCCAAATCTATCCTATTTCTTCTACACATTTTTTTTCTCTTTCGTCGACTTGTCTTGTTAGTGATATGTCAACATTAACTTCCACATCTACTACAATATTAAATACTGTCCCACCGTCAACCTTCTCGTCGACTCCTGTTGAAGTGTCTGTCCCTTCACTAAGCCACAATACTTTAATCTAGCTTCATCTAACGTCACATCACTTACTGTCACATCTAATGCTCCATCTAGTACTAGCACAATAAATACTTCTGCACTACAATGAACAGAACAGCAAATCCCCTACCGACATAGTATCTTTAACCTCTACTTTTGTCTTTAATACACGCCAGCTACTCTATCAACTACAGCCACTAGTTCAACTACAAAGATCACATCCACAAGTCACTCCGTTGGTCAGTATTGTGGCTGCAAATGCCCCGTTAATATTTTGACCACTCGACCAGCAGCAAGTGAAATAGTTGAAATGACATCATCTATTCAGAAGGTAAATGTGAATGTTTCTGTTGTGTTGCTTTTATATGAGAAAAGAGTCATTGTAATCACACCAAATTTCCATAAGGATCTATAAAGCAGTCTTCTTCTTAGTCCTTATCACGAAGTCGTATATTAACAAAAGAAAGAATCTTCTAGGCTATATATACGCGAATATACCACTGATTGATCACTAGATTTCTTAAACTGACGCATCAAATTTCGTAAACGGTTTTTTTTGTTTTACGGTCGAAACATAGATTGAATTGAGAAACCAAAGAAAAGTAACATGAGTGCGTGTATGTAAATTTTGGGGTGGGTCTTTGCAACAATAAACAAGAGTCTATGTCGGAGAAATTACTATGCGCAAGTTAAAAGAAAACAAAATGGGGGTTCCAGAGAGTGAAAAGAGAGACAGACAGTCAGAAAAGGAAACAGAGAGCAAGCCGTAAAATTTCATTGTAACAGATACAGGGCTAGAAAAGTATGTTAGGTAGACTGCTAGTAGACCTATAGGCCTACAATATATTTGTCTATGAATCTAGTTTTATTTAAAGATGTCCTCGTGATTTTTTTTTAATTAATTAATTTAAAAAAATGTGGGGAAAAAATAATAAAATTTCTCTCAACACAAAATGTAATTCAAACAGAAAAAAAATGTCACCAAATCCTTTCCATTTTCATTTTATCCATTCCATATAGATTTTACTCATGAGATTGAAATACTTCATCCTATCTTCTTATCTTATAAAATACAGACGTTGCTTCAAAAAAGATGATTACGAGGTCAATCTCATCATGCATGCTAATCAATGACTTAAATTCTGCCCAGTCGTTGGTTTTCCTGACTGATTCAGGCAACCAATTCTATGGTCTAATAGCATAATAGTAGGCCTATTTGTACACATTTGTTCTAGCATGTCTTTGTGACTTTCTGAATATTTTTTTCAGGTTTTGGTTTTGTATTTGAAAATATTTGATATTGTATTTGAAATAATATTTGTTGTTTTATTTTTTTTTTTTCATGATAAAATATTTTATACGTAGAAATAAATATATAGGTCCGTAAATTTATCATTTTGATGTCTTTATTTCGCTTTCTACAGGAACTTGAGATTGATAAATTAGAAACGTCTGCCAACAAAAGAACATTGACAAGTGCACCAGACGAGAGAAGATCTGCGCAGACGATTGGATATTTCGGTGTTGCCATTTTCGTTACAGTCTTTGCTGGCATTGTTTTCTTAGATTTTAACTACTTGACTAAGGATGTCATAAAAATTATTAAATTTATTAAAAAGGGTAAATGACAAATTATTTTGGTTCAAAATATGTCGAGCAAAAACATCTAAGTGCGTACCGGTAGATTCTACTTCAGCATCGTTCTCTCTTTTGTAGAACAGACATTTTTTTTACCTTGTTTTTTACCAAGTAAAGAATGCAAGATTACTGTAGGCTATATTTCGGACTTCATTGGCAATATTCATGTTATAAGCCTACTGTGTATTCCTGTTATTCTGTTATTTATTTAATAAGTGCAGAGTATTTTAGTTAAACATGAAGAATCTTTGCTCACTTAGGAAGTGCAACCATGAAAAACATTTTTCTGTGGAATGAAGTCTTTCTGCATTATGCTTTTAGTTCTATAAAGGGCAACTGCCCCTGGTGATTTCATATGCCCAATCTGCAACCGCAACTGTGTATCAAGGATTGGCCTCTTTAGCCCATAAGAAGTTGCAAAGGGAAAAGATCGTCTCTCGAGACGTAAAATGCCACAGAGAGACAGAGTTCTATAAATAAAAGTGTGAGGTATATAGTCTTATAACAACAACAAAAAAAATGTAGCTTACATCATCATCAGAGAATACGAGGCCGCACAAATAATGAAGTACCGGTACTAGCCTATACAAGGTACAAGACACTGACAGTCTATAGTTCCGCTATTCACGTGGAAATGGAGATAGCATTATGTGGCTACGTTACATTGACACTCACAAGTGTTGTTTATTTGTTTTGTTTTTAATTTAAAAAGCCAATGTATAAACAATGAGCTTTTATACAATGAACAAAAAGGGGTCTAATTTGAATTTTTTTTTAAATTTCTTTTGTCCCTACGTGTGCCCTGATGCTAGAACGAGTTCAGTTTTTCTTCTTCCTCATTCTCAGAGAAGTTTTAATATCAAACCATTGGAAACGTGTACAAGCTGGGCCGGCCATAGGCATAAGCAAACTAGGCAACCGCCTATAGCCTCCGATTAGTGAGGGCCTCGCTCAGAACTGTAACATTCTTTATATTTTTCAAAAGAGAAGAAATAGCGAAACTTGTTCATAATGTTACTGTTGAAATTCACTTGTTAACCGTAGGCCACATACACAGATGACCTTTACATCATCTGTCCTATAGACCACAAGATCTGAAAGGGGAACTTTACTTTGTATTTTTTTTAACTTTTTCCTTTGGGGTCACTAGTCACTTCGCCTAGGGCCTCCAGTTATCTAAGGCAGGCCCTGGTAGTAGTTATATGTAGTTATTCTGGTATTGAATGCCAACAAAATACATATTCTGAGGTATCTACAGTGCATTTTCCTGCTATTAAAAAGTCTTATTTCAAAAAACGTATGTGCTATTCTTACTGACTTAGATCCTCCAGCGCCGTTCGGCGTTTTTGCCGTCAAGCTGTTTCCACAAAAATCTGTAACTGGTAATGTCTGAGAACGAACTGCTTGAATGTGAACTAGATCTACAACTTTTGTGAATTCCCGTATTACTTTGTATTGCATGTCATGTTACTGTTGCTTGCTAATCACATTGTCCAGTGATATTAAAATAATGTACTGCATGCCCAAACGTACTACATCTGCAACTATAGAACTAGTTCCGTAGTATTGCTACCAGTGTATATTGAACTATCAATAAATAATAAAAGAAACTGTGATAAAAATCTCTAACAAATATACATAGTATAAATCTCATGTTTTCACACTTTATGGTATTGTATTGACTATTGTTTTGAAAACAATCTATTCTATTCCTTGCATCTTGTATTTATTTGTTGAAAGGAATGAAAGTCCCTCATTTTAGTAACAGCTTGCAATTGTAATTAGTGATACTTTATTTCAAACTTGGTTTATACATAGCCACCAGGAGAGTGCTCACGTGAACTGTGGGCTTGAATGAAAATGTCCTGTTAGTGTAAAATATATAAACTAGCTGTAAGGAAAACTTTACTGGCTTTCATTGAACACTGGATAACGTGACTAAGAATGATTTTCTTTACCGAACCTTTCAGGAAAAAGATTTCACACCTTAATAACAGACAGAGGCAGGTTGAAGAGATCAAGCTCTACCAAACCTTTGTATTTTATTTTAGTTTCGGTATTTCTCGAAAAGGCCGCAGTCTTATTAGACAGCATTAAATAGAAATACGTCACAAATTCCGTATTTTTAAAGCCATATTTTTCTTGTTACCTAAATTTACTCATTTCTAATATGCTTTACGTCATTTCCGCTTCCTTTTAGACAAGGTCAGAAAAAAACAAAACCAATCCTAATAGCATTAATAAGATATATCTTGAGTCTTTTTCTGGAATCCATTCCAGTGGCCTGGGTTTTATGGGGTAGCTCCAACCATAAAAAGGCTTGACCAAGAGTAAAGGCTGGGATTTCGAATTAACATCCATTCAGCTTTAAAGTATGGATACTAACATTGAATTGTATACCTTCAAAGATAACAATGAAAACAAAACCCATGAATGTAAATGAATTTTTGCAGTTTAATTGCAAAAATGCTGACATGTCATTAAACAGTAGAATAGTAAAAGACAGATTTAAAAAAAAAAAACGCAACTGAAGACAGTAACAATTAACAACATATGGCAATGACCACTGTACTGAAATCCAATGATCAGATACATTCAATGTATATCACTAGTTAGCTGAACTCCTGCTCTTTAAGTACAACAATGGTGTAAGTACCCAGAGAAGCCTACAGTAATGCTGCTGACAAGGGCTGTCAATAGCTGTTCTGTTACATTCTCAGGCTTGGAAAGGACAGATACTTCCTATACTGTTGGATTGGAAAACAGAAAGGGGTGGGGTGGACTACAAAAGAATTTTTTTTTAAATAAGTAAATAAGTTACAAAAAAAAAAAAAAAAAAAGGAATTTTGAATAGGTATAAATTTGCAGAGTACTCAAGCATTTGTCACTACAGAACAAAAGAATTGTCCAAGTTTAACCCAAGTAACCAACTGTCTTTTTGTTGACTTGTTTGTTAACATTGGTATTAAAATGTTCAAAGTATTAGAAGTGTTTTTTTTTTTTTTTTTTTTTTTTTTTTTTTTTTTTTTTTTACACAATGACTTCAGGTACCTAAACATTTTCCCCAAAAAAAGTAACTCAAAGGCTTTACATACAATTTTCAACCTCATTGGAACTTGTACATTCTCAAAAGGACATCCAGTGATTGGCAGCCCTTGCAGAAGTGACCATACAAAAAATAAGCTAAAAAATGAACTTAGCTACAACATAAACATGAGTTCCTGGAACACACACACAAATTGATGTACTGGTGAGTTGGAACAAATCAATAAAAGAAATCACATGATTTGTGTACACCTGGCCACCAGTGACACATGACATAGTTTTGCATTGCAATTTTTTTTAAGTATTTCATTATGATAACTAATTAATAACACAGATTTGACCAGAATCAATTATACAAAATCTGACTAAAACTATTTAAATGTATGGTGCACAATTACCATACAGATAAACACAACAAGATTTGGTCTTTGAATTCATAATCAAAAGATCTAAAGATTTATTATTGGCCAAACTTAACAGACAAAATAGACAGAAATAAAATCTAAATGTTGAATCCAAGTGAATTCTATAGACCAGTGCAGGACTAATGTACAACTACAATACAAACAAAATGTCTTCACATGGTACTGATGTGCAATAATATCTGTTACAGAGAAAAAAAGTCCAAAACTAAATACTGCAATTAGACTCGGGGGAGGGGGGGGGGGGGGGGACCAGACCAGATGGAAAAATAATGTCTGCGTATCTTTTTACATACTGACTAAATAATTTGTTTGAAATTTGAAATCTCAAACTCTAGGGTACTGTAGCTGTATCAAGTCATTGCTAAAATGTGTTCTATCAAATCAATGTCTAGGTCTGTACTGATAAAAAGAAATTCCTTTAATATATCACTAGGCAGTTGTTATGGAAAATGTTTTAGTTATAAAATTACATCCAGTTAATAAGACTTCTTTACAAAAAAAACATCCATGGGGAGGGAATCCATGCTGCAAAGATGAATGAGAATTATGCTAACATTGAATTCCTCATTCCCAACTCCATAGGAAGATGTTCCATCAACACATTGACTAGACAAAGAGATCTCAGGATAGACTCACAGGACAACATAATCCAATTCATTCAAACATCATTACAGAGTAAATTGAACATGATAAAACATTACCAAATAACTGCATCCAGCTTATACCACAATGTTTATTTATTTATTTTTTTTTACATTAAAGAGATAATATTGATAGGATTGAAAAACAGCCCCCTTTTTTTTTAAATAAGATAGAAAACTAAATGTGAAGCTATTAGAAAAATTACTTATTTATTAATGAAATAATGTAGAAGGTGGTTAAAGCAGGGTACTTTATTTAGTTCCACAATAAATCATATTGAGTCAATAAGTCTTTATCGTGAACATCGAATACATTTATCGCAGAATTGTCCTCAAAAGATAAATTATCTTTATAAACCAGATAGCAGAATTTACTTTAACAATAAAAACTCTAAAAACTAACATGTAGGCATTGCTAGCACACAACCAGAAAAATGTGAAATTAAAAAAAAATCAATCATTCCAAATAAAAACTCCTTTATAAATAGAACACAACAACTTGACAAGGGTGTTAACTGTGTTTTAGCAAATAAAAAAACCCTCAACAGAAACACATCTCATGAGCTGCTACTCTGTGTTGAACTGGGAAGGGGGGGGGGGGGGGGGGCAGACCAATAGTTTGTGTAACATAGCATACTTAATATGCACATACATGTTGACTATGGAAAGTGTACATCTAGAAGTGAGGCTGATGAATGAATACATCAAATGACTGATACCAAAACAAAACTCAGTAGTATCTGACAATATTGAACAGAAAAATTTAGACATTTTACTCTACAATTTACCAAAAATTGCCATAATAATTATACAATTTAGTGAAACTAGAAGTGAACTGTGATCACAAAGGAAAATTCCATTACCCCAAAAACATGGCATAAAACCATATCTGACCCTTGACTCTGAGCTGAAGATCAACAAAGGGAAACAAATACTGCTTCCCCAAAGATTAGTAACATTATAAAGAATCGGAGAAAAAGATTCTAACATATATATCTTTTATTTGAAAACAAACAAAAATAGAGGCTTTTATCAGGCAGCCACATTTTTACTTAATCCTTATGAACAAAGAGTTAAATAATTTTTTTTTTCAGCAACATAGAAAAAAAATGTTTTTCTTCTTTTGAGTTAGAACAAAATTTAATAAATGATGCCAAAAGGATTATTAAAAAATCTACAGAAAAACATACATTTGTCAACATGTCTAAAGTAACAATATATAAAACCATAGCGTGCTATAGTGCCATGCACAAATCTATTACATTAACTAAAGAAAAAATTAGAAACCAATTCAATGTGAGTAAACAACATGATTATTTTTAAAGCCCTTTATGCTTCTTCTCAATATGCATTCCACAACTTGATTCAGGAAAAATGGAGGATAGTGGTTAGGGATTTGGAAGGGATGGGGGACACAAATAAATAGCAATAACTTAACATCACTACAAGTTGACATTAAGCACAATGATTGTGTGAATAATAGCTCAAAAGTTGTACAACCACACACAATTGTTCCCAGTTTGATGAAAACACTCATGGCTTAGACAAGGGGAGACTACTGTACACAAAACATGATGTACAAATAATAAACCAAAAATGTTATTTCCCATTTCTAGTGGTTGTATTTACAGAAAAAAATATACAATCTTAATACGAAATTTCACCAAAACCTTGATAAACTCCCAAGTTCCAATTTCTTGACATATGGTGTGTGTGACACTTTTAAACAAAAATTGTTCAGTTTTATTTTTTTGCTTTCCTATGACAAGTGTGATATGAGTTATTGCCCAAACAAATAAATGCTTGAATGGATTATATATAAATTATTTTTTGTTACTTATCAAATAAAGAAATTATAATAATTAAAGGAATCATACAAAAAAACATAATAAAATGGTGACAGAATTAACACATCAAATATCATTGAACAGATACAAAGATGAATTAATTTTTATGATTCATTTAGTATGATACATATAAATAATGAGCTCACCATTACTCTGTCAATGCATGTGAGATAAACAAGTAGGCAGGGCGAGGCGGGGGACTGGTTGAGCACTGAGTACCTTTTGTTAAATAAAACTTTTTTTCTACCGAAGTAAGAGGGGAAAAAAGAAATAAATGAAAACCACTTATTGATGATTTAATTAGTGCTTAGATAAAAGAAGTCAGAAAAATAAAAATAAACTAAAACAATGGCAAATACAGTGAAAACAACTCACCAGTCACACATTACAGAATACAAAAAAAAACAAAAAACAACTGGAATGCTTTTAAGACAGCACTGCTGCTTGAACCATTCCATAACCTTTTGAGAAATAGAAGTTATCCATTCATTAATAAATAGAATATTGATACATTGTTTACAAAATTGTCTTAGGAAAAGAAACTAAAGTATGAACAATAACCTTTAAAGCTAATCATGAAGAGAAATGTTTAAATATGTTGTTTTTGAGTTATTCAACACATGCAGGTTAAGTTGGAGGTTATACATAAACATTTGGTAATTTTTCACGTCATGCAGGGCCAGGATGATTTTTTTTTTTTCAAAACAGCATATCCCAAAGATGCCCTTTACAAATCTGTTAGAGGGAATAGTTGTATGAATCTTTGCTCAATCTTCCTTTCAGTTTAAAATAAAATTTGTTGATCAAGTACTGACCATCCCTGATTAACGTTTCTTACAATAATTTATTTCATTTTACAAAAAAAAAAAAAAATTTTAAATTTAAAACACTAATCTCTTCAATTGGTGACAGAAAAAAAAAATGTTTAAATAGTTAAATACTGGTGGAGAAACAGTTAAGTTCTCATCCTGTCTGGCTGAGCATGACTTAATGAGGTATTATTAAGCCAGTAGATCAAATATATACACCAGGCCTCGCTTAGAGTCTCCATAACTCATATACGTCACAAAGTTTGTGCATCGTCCAGCAATCACTTTAATGTTGTTTTGTTTGTTTTAACTTTGAAAAGGTAAATACATGGCAGCTTATGTCTCTTTCATACCGTATGCAATTGAAACCAATAGAAAAAAAAACAACTAAAAGTACAATGAGTCAGGCAATGAAGAAAACCAAACTTTGACTTATGTGACAAATGAGTTCATCATTGGTGCTTTGCCCTGTATCTCCTCTGATTCCAATCCACTAGAGTACTGTACAACAGTTGCTGCAACCAGATTCACCACTCTTGTCTTTTTTCAACTGACCTGCAAGCACAAGTTATATAAGAAATCCAAACCTAAAATTTGATAACTATGCACCTATACGTAGCAAAATAAAGTGTATAAAGGAAGCCACAGTATGTGAGTTATCATATTACGAAATTTAAAAAATTTAACAACTTATGGTCCTATAATATTACTTTGTTTTACATAAAAAGGGCATATATTTCTCCTTTACTAAATATTATATTTCCTGATAACAAACAAAAGAGTCATTGAAGTTAATCACAACATGGTAGTGCACAACTAATGGGCTAAGTGAATAATCCTGGAGAAAGTTTTTGGTTTAGTTGGTATCCTGTTTGTCTTTAAAAAAAATGGTTTTCACTATGAGTACAAGAGTTAAACCTGACACTAGTTGCATTCAAAATTCATAGACAAATGTAACTTTAAATTAATATTTTTAAAGATATGTCCATTTATTCAATTCACTAATATTGCATACTGGTACCTAAAAATGTATTCTGTAAATACAAAAACTCTATAGCTAATGAATATTTTGAAGTGAAACTTGTCATAAATTATAACTTAACCCTTCAAATGCGTGTGGTAGTTTAGCCTCTAAACATTAAAAGTGTAATTCCATTTTGTTTGCACTCACTGTAAAACAGCTCAGCACTTTAAGGGTTAAGCTTCACACAATCAACTCAAAGTCACTAGTTAAGGTATAAACAAAGAACTCATCAAATAATTTTTAGCTACATAAAATGTACAGTGTATTACCTTGATTATTTGGTTCTGGGAGATTCTCTCTGGCCACTAAGTGCATCACACTTGTTTTTCCAGTTGGTAGCTGTAGAGCTGTTTATATATATATAAAAGAGTTTCTTTAACTGAAAACTATAAAACTAAATCAAAGCTTTGAGAATAGTGTGTGGTTGCCAAATGAAATCCTTTCTCAAATTTTGACATCTTTTTTTTTTTTCTAAAGATGTAAGGAAATTGTCAACTGTTAGCTCAAATGAATAACTTAAGAGAAAAATGTACTACAATATTACTTGAAGCACTGAAAGCAAGTAACTTAATTTTAGATACGGTATAGAGTTTCTAGTTTAATGAGGAAACAAGAAAAACAATTAAAAATACTTTTTTAAAAAAAGACAAAACAGCCTTTAAACAACTTATAGAGCGATTGTTTTTCTCTTAATAACTAATGAATGTTAGATTAAAAAAGGATGGAACATTTTTTACCATGTCCCCTTCATCCCCTTCCCCCTGAGAAAGAAAGAAAGACTTAGAAGACAATGTGCACAATTTTTCCTGAATATTAATTTAATTAACTCTTCATGGAATGTGGAAATACCAATACAAAATATTTTCTCATTGTGACATAATGGAAAGTTAAATAAATTAATTTCTTTTCTTTTTACTCTGAAAAATTATAACTGTCAAACCGGAGTTTTCCCAGTGTAGCCAACAAGCTAGTCATTCTTTTCCCAACAATATCTTATCTTCTTATATAATACAGACGTTACTTCAAAAAAGAAGATGATTACGTCCTATATATAGCAACTGTCAAATTTCTAGGAAAATTGTTCGAGCAATTTTCAACATCTGTATACAGGTTCCAGAAAGTTTCCATGAAGTTATGAGTTGAATAGCGGTATTGTAAAACAAACATTTTTATTAATTTTAACATTAATTGAAAAATGCATTTATCAAAGTTAAAACAAGCACAAGACAAATGTCTATTAAAGACAGAAACAAATACTTTTTTTTGACTTTCAGATTTCTAGAAAAGGAAGATCAATAAAACTCTTAGCTAATCTTCTTACCTGTTAATGTGACATTTCCATGGAGAAATCGGCCTTGATAGATAAGCCGCAATATATTAGTCGCTGGCATTTGTTCATCAGCCCAATCTAGTCCACAGGATAAGAGCAAAATTTATTAGTATTGGTAGCAGTAAAAATGTATGCAATGATAAAAAAAAATGTGGGATAGGGGTGGTGGAGAAAGGGAAATAGGCCCATAGAAAGGTGGTGTTAAAAGTATACATTAAAATTTAACTGTGCAAGTCTCAAAAAATATTGTTTAGATACAGCTATTAAGACTAGATCCTAATATGTGATATACAAATATCTAGGTGTCATTGTTATAAACAGCAAACTTTTCATGGTATGGCCATTTTGAAGCTCAGCTTTCAAACATCAGAATTTTAAAAGTGAGCCTAAATGACACTTGTAATATATGAAATAACTGTCTGGAAAGGCAATGTCATCCAAACTCATTTCTTCGAAGACATTCTAATAACCACACTCACCTCAGTGCTACAATTAAATTTGGGGATTTGTACGTCTAGGTATTTTCAAAAGTTAAATCTGAAGAACCAATGTCCAAAGTATGCAGGAGAAATTTGCTTAGGCAAATAATAAATTCAC